CTGAGTTAACAGTGGTCAAGTTCTTAGTACCCAGCCTGATAATATGTGCTCAGGAACTACTATCTATTATTCCCCTATACTGTGAGTTTTCTCAGCAAACTCCTTGCAGGACAAACTCTGGTTTTTTTTGCGGGGGTGGGGGGTTTGACCACACTTTTTATTTAGTATTCTGTAGTTGCTTAACACACACTTAAATGGTCTTACTGGGGGAGGGGAAGGGAGGTTCTGCTAGATTCCCAAGGAAATGTCAGAAAGGCAAAATATGGCCAGCATTATCCATTTGTTTTTTTTGGGTTTACTGGGTGAATAGCACTTTCCTTACATCTCATCTCGGGTTTTTCATACTGAGAACATTGAGATTTCAGTTTGAAGACACCCTGAAATCCTAAGAGCATACCCCAGCTGCCCTCTAATAGCTAGCTTGTTTGTAGAGGCAGAAGGATTCACCTTTCCATTTTAGATGGCTAGATGTTTGTGGAAGGTCTTAGAATTGCTTTGCCTCATTTACTGGGAAAAATCAGATATAGGAAGTGGCATTTAGGGACAATTTTAACTTGAAAAATTACAACAGTAGTATACAAGTCAAGTCTTAACACATTTAACATTTACTTATTGAAAGCAATGTCGTAAAGTCAAATAAGATTAAACAGGTTTTACTTTTTTTTCGTGGGGCAAATCCTTGAAGGGCAATCTCCCTTCAGAGACCACAGAGAGTTAGTTGAATGTACGTGCCACCCATGTGCTCCCAGGGTCTACCCTGGAAGTTGAGAGGCTGTGATTTCGGCTGCCAGGCATATACCTCCTCTGAGTCTGCTACCTAGGTCTCAGGCTGTGGGCATCCTGGTGGGAGGGCTTTCCTTACCAGCTCCCTTCCTGTGAGCAGATTTCCCCCGTGCAGGGCTGGGCTCTCAAACAGCGGGGCTACAGTGCCCTGACCTCCTTCCTGCACCCTCCACACCCCTTCATGCCCAGATTGTCTGGGTAGCCAGATCTACTCCATCTTTCCTGCTGGAATAGACCAGCAAGGTCTGCCCTGGTTCTTTCCAAAGGTTTCTTCCTCCTTTTGGTCAGCTCCATCCCTGCCACTGTACCCTTTTCCTAAAAAGCTATGGTGGTGTCCTGGTAACTCTCCCCCCACTCCCCCACCCCCCTGAGAGAGGCAGCAGCTACTGCGGGGCCCCTCTTGCTATGGCTGAGTTCAGTGTCCTTTGTGGAGGCTCCTTTTTTATCTTCACAGTAGGGTTATGGCAGTCACCATCCAGCCATAGAAGGTTCCTAACATCTTCCATTTAAACATGCAAATGTTTTGGATGGACCTCGAGAACATTATGCTAAATGGAATAAGAGAAAGACAAATACTGAATGATTTCACTTATGTGTGGAATCTAAAAAAGCAGAAGTCCTACAAACAGAGAGTAGAGTGGCGGTTACCGGCCACTGAGGGGTGGGGAAATGAGGAGATGTTGGTCAAAGGTACAAACTTCCAGCCACAAAATGAGTAAGTTCTGGATATCTAAGGTATGGATGGTGACTGTTGTTAACAATACTGTATTATATACTTGTAAGCTGCCAAGAGAGTAGATCTTAAATGTTACCACCACCACCACAACAAAATGGTAATTATGTGAGCTGATGAATGTGTTAACTGACCTTATTGTGGTAAACATTTTGCAATGTATATACATGCATCAAATCTTCATATTGTACATCTTAAACTTCACAATGTTATATTTCAATTACATCTCAGTAAAGCTGGAGGAAAAAAGATTCTCATGTTCTTTAAAAAAAAAAAAAACAGCTTCCTTGAAGTATGATTCATATACCATCCAATGGACCCTTATCAAAGGTATACAATTCAGTGGCCTTCGAGAATATCTACAGAGTTGTGCATCCAAAACCACTGTAAATTTTAGGACATTTTCACTCTTCCTCCCAAACCCTTACTTTTTAATGTGACCCCTCAATTCCTCCATATCACCCCCAAATCCTAGGAAATGACTCTTTTTGTCTCTCTAGGTTTGTCTATTCTGGACTTTTGATAGAAATGGAATCCATCACATACACGACCTTTCTTGCACTTAACGCGTTCAAGGTGCATTGATGTGGTTTCATGCGTCTGTACTTCATTCCTTTTTATGGCTGGATAATACTCTGTAGTCTGAATATACATTTTGTTTATCCATTTGTCAGTCGATAGTCATGTGAGTCGTTCCTTATGTTTTTTTTATAAGAGTTTATTTATTTATTAGAGAGAGAGACAGTGGAGGCAAGGGGGGTGGAGGAGCAGAGAGAGAGGGAGAAGCAGACTCTGTGCTGAGCATGGAGCCGGACGAAGGGCTCCATCCCATGACCCTGAGATTATGACCTGAGCCAAAATCAAGAGTCCACCTTCACTTAATGGACTGAGCCACCCAGGCGCTCCTTCTTTGTTCTTTTTAACATATCAAAGCCCAGCTCTTTGACTACCTTTCAGCGTTTTTGTTATTTTTATCACAGCCCCAAATCACTCCTTGGTTTGCTTATGCATATAATTCCAGCTCAGAAGTTACGTTCTGAATATCCATAATAAAATTAAAGGTTTAAAAAAAAACTTTACAAGAACGTGCCTTGAAGAAATGATTCAGACCATACAGTTTCTCTTTTCTTCTGTGTAATTATTTAGGCTCTAATAACTCAGTCAATTTAGATGGATGTTCGAACTGGCTGAGGACAAAATAAAGTTTTCACCTAGGGAGAAAAATATTAACGAAAGCCAGAAATACTTGAGAATTGTAGCAGCGGAACAGGCCGGGCAAGCGTGCTTTCTTTTTACTGAGAACCCACCCTGAGTCAGGTGGTACCAGTGACACCCTTATTTAACCCTATCCTGCCCGGGAGTGGATTCCTCTTAGGCATGTTGTCTACCCACGCCTGGTGGGACGCCCGCTGAGATGCTGCCAAGGAGGCCCAGGTGGAACTTGTAAGTTTCCCAAATTTCTCTGAAGGTGTGTAAACGGTGGTCAGCTTTGCTAGTGTTCAGTGGGCAGTTGAGGTCAGATGGAGGTAAATGGCATTCAGTGGGTTAAATTTGTAGTCCCAGCACCAGGCTGCCAGGCATTAGAACTGTTCAGCCTCGAATCTAAAGAATCTAACGTGCTCAGGGATGGGAGCCTCCTGTGGGCTGGTGCTGAGCGAAGGTTCACCAGGATTTGCATTACTGGGATTTCCGGTGCTGAATGGGGCATTGTGTGTCCCTCTCTTCGATGCCTGCCCGGAGGGATTCCTGCTCAGAAATCTCAGTGGCATAGTAAATATGCCCTCCCCTCCGGATGGCTGGATAAATTCACTTTGGGGATTTGATGATCTGTTTTAAGGAGGAAAACTGCAAGTCGGCATGCTGTAATGTAACAAGAGGGAAGGCAAAAACATAATATGCTTATAAACCAAACGATGATCACAGAAGGAACATCAAATTTAATTAAATTTCATCTCTATGGTATAATTGAAAGTTGCTAAGAGGGGAGATCCTAAAAATACTCATCACAAGGAAAAAAAAAATGTTACACTCTGTGTGGTGATCGATGTTCACTAGACCTGTGATCATTATGTGGTACACCTGAAACTAATACAGTGTTACCTGTTAATTCCATCTCCATTTTGAAAATTTCATCTCTACTAAGGGGTTCTTTGATTCTTTCCACCCAAATTTTTGTGGAAATGTGAAAAAGCTCAGGCTTCAGAAGGAGTAGATCATGGTGGGTTTTGGGCAGATTACTCCCCATCTCTGAGCTTGTGTCATAAGAGGACACCTTCCACCCTCCAGGAGGGTGAGTGTGAGAACAGATCAGATAGCTTGTGCACAATATCCGGTATGCAGTAGGCGCTCAATAGGAGTTACTGCTTCTAAAGTTTTATTCCCCCCCAGATGATTTTTTTTTTTTTTTTTTTTTTTACACCCTCACTCATACCCGTTTGAGGAGGAACAGTTTGTAAGGAAACATTTTGAGTCTTTTCCCCACAGGATGGTGCTGCTAGCTCTTTGTGCTTGAGGGAGACCATCTTTGTCTCGGTGGAGGGCCTTTCACCCCACAAACATTTGATAGATATTTGCTGACGTTCCAATGACATAAACCTCAAGAACAGTAGAGAGTCTTTCCAATGAAGTCCGTTCTCCCAAAGTGGTGTGAACACTTGCAGTGATTCTTGGCTCTCACTGACATCCTAATGTTTGAGGACTTGGAGCCATAAACTGAAAGAGCCAGAGGTAGATACCAGCAACTTAAAATACTGTAGGAGTGATGTAAATATCAAAGTAGACAAGTTGTTTTTCCTCCAGTGGCTTTCTTGGCAGAAAATTAAAAAGGAAAAAAATGGCTACATGACTTAAGAAAACATTGTGGTGGTGGGTGATAATAACTTACGTTTCTATAATGCGTTCCAGCTTACAGAATGCTTTCCCGTTATTATTTCATTGAATTCTCACAAGTCCCAGAGGTAGGTAAGACAATACTGCATTATGGTGAAGGAAGTGCTGCTTCGACCACTTACCTACCATGTGGCTCCTGTGGCTTATTTAAGCGCTCTAAGCTTATTTTCTTAAGTTTTAAAATGGGAGTTGAATCCCATTTAGTTTTTAGGTGCTGATACCTTCCTTTTAGGATTACCGTCCAGATGCCCTGAGATGGTGCGGGGACACTGCCAGCCACGTAGTAAGGGCTTAGCAAAGGGGGACGGCTGGGACGTTATTAGGTAGACTAACCCTTAACTTCACAGGGGAGGAAGCCAGAAAGGACCATCGCTGTGCTAAAGAGCGCGCCGTTCGTCACAGCAGGACTGGAAAGCGGATCGAATTCCGCTGCCTCCCACTCGAGTGCCCTTTCCACAGCGCCTTTGCCAAGACGCGTCAGTCAAGAGGACTGTTTCCACGCGGCTGCCGGCAGAATTCCCCGTGACAACGAACGTCGTTCTCCTCCATTTCTCTGGTGCACTGATCTTTTCACTGTCTCCTCTTGTATTCACAGAACATCATCAAGAAGGTGATTGGGCAGAAGTTTGTGTACAAGTTTGTCTCTTTCCCGGAGATACTGAAAATGGACCCTCACGCGGTGGAGATCAGCCGGGAGAGCCTTTTGCTGCAGGACAGCGACTGCAAGGCGCCTCCTGAGGGCCGAGAGGTGCACAGACACGGCTTGTCGGCCCTCAAAAGCGCAAGCCGCAACGAATACATCCACTCAGGCCTGTACTCGTCCTTCACCATTAATTCCCTGCAGAACCCGCCGGAATCCTTCAAAGCAATCAAGACGGAGAAGCTGGAGGAACAGCCGGAAGACAGCCCTCCCGTGGAAGAAGTCAGGACTGTCATCAGGTTTGTGACCAATAAAACCGACAAGCACACCAGCAGGCCCGTGGTGCCCCTGCCCTCCACGTCTGAGGCCTTCCTGGCCTCGTCGGCCTCAGCCAAGGTCTCCTCTTTAATGTTGCCAAATGCCGCCAGCATTTCGTCCGCGTCACCCTCCTCGTCTCGGTCCCCGTCCCTGTCCCCCAGCTCGCCCCTCCCTTCTGAACACAGAAGCCTCTTCCTGGAGGCCGCCTGCCATGACTCCGATTCCCTAGAGCCCTTGAACCTGTCATCGGGCTCCAAGACCAGGTCTCCATCTCTTCCCCCAAAGGCCAAAAAACCCAAAGGCTTGGAAATCTCCGCGCCCCCGCTGGTGCTGTCCGGCACCGACATCGGCTCCATCGCCCTCAACAGCCCAGCTCTCCCCTCGGGATCCCTCACCCCAGCCTTCTTCACTGCACAGGTAAGAGCCTGTCCCCGCGGCGGGGCTGCACTCAGACTCGGTGGCATAGCGGAAAGGAAGAGCAACCGAGGCAACTTCCTTCTGCCCTTCAAGAGATCACCTTAGGGCCCGTAGACCAAAGTCACGGTGTAAGCGTGAAGGGAAATTACTTTTCCATCCCCAGGCCAAGGTGTCCACAAGAGAAAAGGTTTGAGATATTGGTTACAGTGGGATGCTTCACTGGTTTCTTGCTTTCAGTGGCCGAAGGTGATCATAATATGGAACAGGCACCCTGGTCATCAAAGCAGATCCAAACAATATTTTCCTAGGGAAAGTTGAATGGGCCAAGTGACATTTCAGAAGGTATTTGGGCTTTATGGAAAAAAAAAAATTTTTTTAAGAGAGGGAGAGATCGGGCAGCGGAAGGGCAGAGAGAGAGAGAATCTTAAGCAGGCTCTACCCCCAGCATGGAGCCTGACGTGGGGCTCGATCTCACAACCCTGAGATCATGACCTGAGCCGAAATCAAGAGTCGGACGCTTAACCGACTGAGCCGCCTGGGCATCCCTGGCCTTCATGACGTTTTTATGACCGAGTCCTCTCTGGGGGGCACTTGATAAGTAGCCATTTGCTTTCTGTTACTAAGAAGATAGATGTTAAGTGATGCTGCCATTGCATTTGTCTGGGTGGATCTGTGAAACATCAGGGCCACACCAAGCGGTGAGAAAGAATTTTCAGTAAAAGCAATGCGACTCTGAGAAAACCCAGCAGTAACTCCCACGAGAAGGAAGCCTTTTCCGTTAAATATGATATGCAGATGCTCTTTCTCGTCTGGCTGGCATTTGCAGGGCAAAGGCAGAGCCTGGGCTGGTAAAGCCTATTTCTGCTTCCTCTGGAGAATTGGATGCACTTTGGTGGCAGAGTTAAGCACATTGGCTTTGGGGTCACAGACCGGATTCGGTTCCTGGCTACACCGGGGGGCAGTGAGACGGTGGTCACTTGCTCTCTGAGCCTGTTTCCACGTCTGTGAAATGGATGGTTGGGAGGACTGAATGGGAAGATGGCCATGGTAGGAGAGCTAGCTACACCTGGCAGGTATCCTCCTGGAGCCGTGAGGCACACGGGAGCTCCGTCGCCCACCCCTGTGCTCATTGCCGTCACTGTCCTTGCTGTAACCATCATGAGGGGCACGTTTGCTGGTTCCTGTTCTAGACACTTTGCACGCACCCCTCCAGTCATTCTTTGTGGCAGGCCCATGAAGTAGATACTGTTATGTTCCATTTTTCCAGCTGAGGTAAATGAGGCACTGAGGTAAAGTAACTCATCCAAGGTCACACAGCTAACAGGTGGTAGAAGCAAATTTGAACCTGGTTATCCTGCTCCAGAATCCATGCTCTTAAGTAAAATGTTCTTGGCGTGCCCATTGGGAAAACACCCAGTTGTCCCTGATCATAACCGTCCGTGGAGTCTGCCAAACAACCGAAAGCAGCTCTTGGCCACTCTCCTCTCCATGGCTTCTCCCAAACTGATTGTGTCCCAAGGATTTTGTGTCTCCCCAAGCTTGTGAGCTGGTGGTAATGAGCATGCCGCCATGGAAGGGAGGGCTAAGGGCTCAGTTACTGGTCAGAATGAGCACGTGTGCTTTTAACCAGGCATTTTTTGACCAAACAAAACTGTCCAGGGACGAGGGACTGCTGAGTAAGTGGCTCAGAAACAGCAATTCCTGAAGTAGCTCAGAGAAGTAACGGGAAGTGGGCCAGGGTGGATGATCTGAGGATCTTCTCCCCTGGCCTCCTTTGTGTTTACAACTGTAAGGTTTAGAGAGGTCTCAAGCCAGACCGAGGCCAATTCAGATTTCTGTATCTGCTTTCTCTGTGAGCCTGTGTCACCATCTCCGAACAGATGGCCAGTCCTGTTGTCCCAGGAAAGCAGCTCAGGCTAGCCCTGGGGTTTTGGATCTGGACACAGTGCCTTTAGGGTGGCTCTGCTCAGTGGGACTGAGGATGGTATGGCTGGGCTGAGGGGAGGAGGGACCTTGGCATGAGGTAGGGATAGAGCGCAGATGTGAACAAGGGGATGCTAAACTCGGGACTGGGTGACAGGACTTACCAGAACAGCCTCAAACAGGGGAGAGGGAAAGCATCAGAAAGCCAGATGCTTTAAGAGAGGACTTGTGCCTTGGGCAGATGACAATGAATGGTCGGTCCTCAGCCAAGCTGCAAGAGTAGGACCTTGCTTGTGAGTTGGTGTCAGGAAGTCCAAGGATTGGGACCAGGGCTTCCCAAGGAGAGAGAGGCCAAGGGCAGGGTCTGGTTCCACGACAGGAGAGTAGAAGTAAGGTCTCGGGCTGAGAGTGCCTTTGGATCAAGCCGAGGGGCTGGGGGTGGCTACCAGGTAATGCTCTGAATGGATTCAGAGGAGTTAAGGTTGGCTTTGGGGGAAGGTCTAATCTCAGGACTTCCCTCACCTTCTAGCAGTGTCAGCTCTGCACCCAGTGCAGTCGAGGTGGCCAACAGGGAGGGAGAAACCAGAGAGCGCAGAGAAAGGGCAGGACTCCGGTGTGATATTCATTCACCCAAGTGGTTTCTCTGAGATCAAACAGGACAGTCACACCTATCTGGGCTTGACAATTCTCCGGCTCTTTAGGCCTGGAATCAATGTAGGGTTTGGATTCTCAGAGATTCCTTCCCCCCGGGAGCTGAGTGGCTTAGAAACTAACCCTGGAGCCCTGGCTCTCCCTCAGTGGACAGTCAGATGCAAAGTCAGCTCCCAGCAGCTGGCCTCATCCTGAGGGGTGAGCCCATTTCCCTGAAATCCCCCCCAGGGGGCAGGAGTGAAAGCCTTCCCTTTACTTCTGGGTCAACTCCGGGGGTTTCCTCTCCTGAAGACTTGGGGCTTTTCTCTCCCACAGGCAGCTGTGATGTCTTGTTCCCACAGCTCATTGGTTTCCCTCCTCCCTACCTGAGCACTTTCGATTGCAGAAATTACTTTCCTCTGTGAGGTGTGCTGTGTGCAACGTGACACTGTTTGTACGTAAACATTTTGTTACCGGTGGGAACCTCCTGTCAACTTTTCTTAACTGTTGGCTTTAGAAGAGATGAAAGGTGTGCTCTAATAACTTGATACCCTGAAAATGAAGTCCCAAGAATTTAGTTTATCCCAAGAACTGTCTGTTTATATTTTACGAATTTATCCCAAGAATAATTCTCAGTTATTTTCAGATAGAAATATGGCAGGAGGAAGGGTAGGATTCGAGTCTTGGCATGAACAGGGTCATGTAAGGTTACATTTCCCCCCGGGGATCATATTAAACCACCTACCTTGCATAGGCCCAAATTCAGATTTGAAACGTCATCCACAATATGGTGTGCATGAAAAAATGTTCGTCATTCTGCCACTCATCTAAAACCATAACCTCCATTCCCATCAGAAGTATTTGTGGTGCATCTGCTGTGATCTGTACAGTGCAGTTGAGATTACTCTTGATATTTTAAGGAACCAAGATTACGAATATAGGCAGACATGATGATCACCCAGACGCCCCTCAAGCATGGACTACGAGGACCTGAAGACAGAGAATACAAAAGCCAGCTGTGTACCAAGAAGTGATGTAGTTGGAGTTCAGCCACTGAGGTCATATGGGACTGTTGGTAGAAAAGCAAGGATGATCTCTCTCATGGCAGGAGCTACAGAAATTGAGATGCGGGAGGAGCCAGGATGCGAAACCCTTGTGGTTCCTAGCCAGGCACCATGAAAGCCTGAACAGTGTCAGCTGGAGTTCCTGATTCTCTGTATGTTCTGCACCTCGGTATCCTCTGTCCCTCTTCCTTCCATTTGCCTCTTCTGTTCATTGTCTCGCTCCTCATCTCTTAGCAATGTAAAGTTAGTTCAGAATTAGGGGTTGGCACATTGCTTTCCCTTCATTCATGCCAAGGCCTCTGTTAATCTCCCGTGTGATGTTTAAGATGCTGAACTTGGATATGTGCGGGCACTGGGGCATGAACTCACCGTCGAGTCTGAGCACGCGTGCCCCAGGCTGTTGTATTAGCGGCGGCCTTGAACAGCACGAATGAGTACACATAGCTGGCAGCAGACCGAAATGCGAGAACCTCCTTTCATTTACTGGTGGATGTAACAACTTTGGGCCCAAATCATCAGGTGGGGATTTGGAGTAAAATGGATGTGTACGGTGAGGAGCAACCCAGGTATACTGCATCCTGCCCCAGCTCTGGAGCAGGTTCGCATCTTACTGTCTCCTGGGCCATTATCCCAGGAGGAGAAATGTTTTTTCCCTTCATCCCACTCTTTACAACACTTTTCCAGCTTAGCTTCCAGCTTTCTCTATAGTGACCCTACAGGGGAGAGGTGGTCCTTTTAGAAGCTCTTTGCAGTAGAAGATGTTGCTGGTAGAGTTTTGTGAGACTTGACATTCCAGCTGACGGTTCTTCCTTCCCTGGGCTCTGGGCTGCGCAGGATAAAGAAACTGGGGTAGTGCCCTCCCTCTTTCCACCTCGGGGCCTGTCTCATCGCCACCTGTTGCTGCCATGGTCCCACTGCTTCCTCCCCAGTTCTGCTCTTACTCCTTTTTTCCCTCCTACCACTGACGACACCTGCCTTAGACTCTTACGGAATTCTGCTTTGTGCCCCTTTCGTTAAGATCAGCACAGTCAGTGCTACGCAGACTTAATGTGTGATTTAACTTCTCTTTTAAAGTCCTTAAAGTCGATGTTTTATTGGAATTTGGGCCACTCCAGGAGTCTCCAGGGGTAGTTACCTTTTTTGAGGATTTCTTTTTAACCCCAGAATGGCACAGTCATGGATTCTGTTGGTGTCCATGAGAGACTAAGATTTATGATATTTGTTGGTACAACAAAATGTTAAACGGACATCGTGATTTCCTCTCCTGTATTTTCTAAAGCTCAAAAGACCAAATTCTTTGGTGTCTCAAATTACCAAATCAAATAATCTGCAGATACCTCTTGTTGAGCGGCCCATGCATGTCCTTTTTAGTCAGTAAATGGT